AATGCCCATGAAGATTGGAGAGCAGACAGTCAGGATTTTGAAGGATGTTCCATTTGAAATTCGAATGAAAAGGAAAGCATACAAAGGACTGACCTTATTCTTGCAAAACCATCAAATTAGCTATCGCTGGTTGATTCCAGAAGGACTTATTTTCAAGTTCAAGGATAAAAGGGAGAAGATTGACTCCATTTTCAAAGCTCAAGACTTTTTGAAGAGACACGCCAGTTCAGAGGAGGCAGCACTCGCCAAATGGGAAGAATTGGACAGTGACAGAGACAGCGGCTCGGAGGGAGAAGTTAAGACTCCGGAAGATGTTGGAGCGGGAAAAGGCTCATCATACAATCTGAGAGATGTGAAAGGGAGGCAGCCCAAATAATGAAGAATGGTTCGGAATGCGCAAGAAAAGACTTTACTAACAATAAGCCAAAAGGACACTACTAATACATTAACAGTATTGTTTTTTACAGGTTAAGATGAAAGACGACTGAGAACTCACAGAAGAAACCAAAAGAAGATCTGTTTAATACTAACAAAAGATTAACATACTAATGAAAGTATCACCCAATCTTTTCTTAATCCCACTATATACCCTCCTCCTTTCTGATATTAAAAGCATAAATTCTCTTCTTTTTAGGAGAGTCAATAACAAAAAGAAAGAAAGAAACTCTGCAGTATCACTTCCTGGAATGCAGTACCTTTTGCAGGACTAGGTATTTGAGAGCAAGCATGGTGTAGCAGTTAAGAGCAGTGGACTCTTATCCGAAGAACTGAGTTTGATTCCCCACTCCTCCTCCCCATGAAGCCTGCTGGGTGACCTTGGGCCAGTCACATAACTGTCTCAGCCCCACCTCCTTCACAAGGTGCCTGCTGTGGGGAGTGGAAGGGAAAGTGATTGTAAGCCACTCTGAGACTCCTTAGGGCAGAGAAAAGCAGGTATAAAAACCAACTCCTCTACTTCATTTGTGAATTACTCCTCTTATCTGCGATGATGAGGGGCTGTCAACACCAGATAAGGTTAAGAAACTCCTGGCCGGCATGGATTTAGGAGTTACATTGGCTGTAGCCAATTTTTTTGCTTATGTAATTAAACTCAAAGAACCTCAAGCACGGTAAGTGGCTGGTTATTTAAATTATCTATTTGCGTTGTATCTAGTGTGACACTGCTCAAGGCCTGTAGGCTGAAGTATATTTTTTAAAAAGGTTGGAGACCTTTGAGCTATGCTGTCTCTATGAATGGGAAATATATACCTGGAACCTGATGACAATTTCTTCCTTTGAGATCCTGAATGACTGTAGCTGAAAGGCGTGGTCTTCTTCAAACATGTCGGAGTCTCAAAGGCTGAAGTTTTCATACTCCAAGATCTACTTTTTCCATAGTGTCTGGTAGTCTTCTTGCACGTATTGCAAGTGATGAGCTACAGAGAGAAGAAAGGGGGGAAAGCAGCTATGAGACCCTGCCAGTTTTAAAAAAATGTATGTCTGCCACAATTACTAATGTTGGGAGAATTCACAATTCGGCAGCAGCCTCCTCAAAATGCTTTCAGAAGAGATTGCAGATGAAGTCTTGTCTTACTGTAACACCACCATCATTGCAGCTTCTCCAAAAGCTTGTACTTGTTCCCCCTGAACAACTCAACCTTGATCTACTCTTTAATCAGGTTGTGCAAAATCAGTCTGGGTGCCCTCAACATCCATGAGAACTGTATCTTGATGCTATGCGGATAAACTTTGCACATGCACGGCCTTACCCTTTGAAGTCAATGTGCAGTTTCAAATTTCACACAGACAGTAAGTTACTGTTCAATCTGAATAAGCAAATAACAAGGCTTCCCCTGAAAGCTAAAATTGGAAACCATGGTTTCTTAAAATCCTGCTCTGAACTCAACAGGAAATAATTTACTCTGTGGGAAATAATGAAAAATCCTCACCAGGAAAGAATCTGCACGGATCAAAAACTGGCTAATTAATAGAAAACAGGGAGTGAGTATAAATGGGCAATTTTCTCAGTGGAGGATGGTAAGCAGTGGGGTACCGCAGAGATCGGTCCACTGCTTTTTAACTTGTTCATTAATGATTTGGAGTTGGGAGTAAGCAGTGAAGTGGCTAAATTTGCAGATGATACGAAGTTGTTCAGGGTGGTGAAAACCAGGGAGGATTGTGAGGCACTCCAAAGGGATCTGTCAAGGATGGGCGAGTGGGCGTCAACATGGCAAATGGGGTTCAATGTGACCAAGTGCAAGGTGATGCACATTGGAGCCAAAAATCCTAAATATAAATACACATTGATGGGGTCTGAACTGGCAGAGACTGATCAAGAGAGAGATCTTGGAGTTGTAGTTGATAACTCACTGAAAATGTCGAGACAGTGTGTGACTGCAATAAAGAAGGCCAATGCTATGCTGGGGATTATTAGGAAGGGTATTGAAAACAGATCAGCCAATATCATAATGCCCCTATATAAATCAATGGTGCAACCTCATTTGGAATACTGTGTGCAGTTCTGGTCACCACACCTTAAAAAGGATATTATAGCTTTGGAAAAAGTGCAGAAAAGGGCAACTCGAATGATAAAAGGGTTGGAACACTTTCCCTATGAGGAAAGGTTAAAGCACTTAGGGCTCTTTAGCTTGGAGAAACGATGACTGAGGGGAGACATGATTGAGGTTTATAAGATTACGCATGGGATAGAGCAGGTAGAGAAAGAGGTACTTTTCTCCCTTTCTCACAATACAAGAACTCGTGGGCACTCCATGAAATTGCTGAGCGGTCAGGTTAGAACGGATAAAAGGAAGTACTTCTTCACCCAAAGAGTGATTAACACATGGAATTCACTGCCACAGGAAGTGGTGGCGGCTACAGGCATGGATGGCTTCAAAAGGGAATTAGATAAGCATATGGAGCAGCGGTCCATCAGTGGCTATTAGCCACAAGGTATAGATAGGGGCTCTGGGGCAAGTGATGCTCTGTCTTCTTGGTGCTTGGGGGGGGGTCAACAGTGGGAGGGCTTCTAATGTCCTGGCCCCACTGGTGGACCTCCTGATGGCACTCGTATTTCTGGCCACTGTATGACACAGAGTGTTGGGCTGGATGGGCCTTTGGCCTGATCCAACATTGGTGTCTCTTATGTTCTTAATGAAAAATCTCGATTTGGCACAGCATCTAAACCATAATTGTATGTTTAGAGGAGTAACACTAACTTTGCTAAACTTTTGTAATATGAATTTTCCACACACACACCCCTCCTGACCAGTAAATTTCCTTATTTTCTCATCAGAGTTTCGAGTCACATGGTCTGTATTCTGCCTACAGCCAAGGCACAGAGATGCTTCACGAGAGAGGAGTTATTATTTTGTTCCACATGACAGCTACATAGTTTATTCTTACCAAAATGTTTTTTGATTCTTTGTACCTCTTCAGCAGCTTTCCTTGCTTGAAATTGAATTTGTATTTCTTTGCTTCTCGATGAAGTAATTTCTGTATCTGTGGCGTTATTCTCATTTTGGGCTTTAGACGAACCCTGTGGTTACCAGGAAGAAGACACTGGAAACAGAAAGGGCACACTTGGCCTGCATTGTTTGCATTTTTGCCTGCAAATAATAAAAATAGCATTAGGAAGTTGCTCCTTTTCCCAATATATTTTATTGGTTAGCGCAGGGTTTCTCAAACTGGGGTTGGGGACTCATGAGGCTCTGTTATCTACTTTCCCTTTCCTCAGACTGCCAGACTTAGTAATTTCTTAGGAAACATCCAATGACAGAACTTAACAAACCCAACAAGAACCCAAGAATTCCACATCTAAAAGAAAACTACATAGAGGCCCCATTGGTGATAGATCAAGATAGGTAGCCGTGTTTGTCTGTAGCAGTAGAAAAGAGCAAGAGTCCAGGAGCACCTTAAAGACTAACAACAATTGTGGCAAGGGAGTAGCTTTCCTGAGTCACTGCTCACTTCCTCATGAAAGCTCCGCCCCTGCCAAAGATTTTGCTACTCTTTAAGGTGCTGCTGGACTCTTGCTCTCTTCTATGGCTATAGACCCAAGTGCTCTGAGAACCTACTAGCATCTGCTACCAACCCTGGTGGCCCAGGGAACCAGTGACTGCAAAAAAAGTAAGGATGAAGGAACTCGCATCTTAGTGCTGAGCCTTGTACTACCAATACAAGGGATGCAGCCCCTCTGCATCTGTAAGACAGCAGGCCTCCCATGTGACCCACCTTCTACGTTGCTGCGTGTCCATCTGTAAGAAAGGCAAAGATAAAAGGGAGTATTACTTATATATGATTACCAGTTCCAATGAGTCTATGCTTTCTGTTTCACAGACACAGTTTTTCATCATCATTTTACAGTGCCTTTTGAGCAAGCAAAGTTTCTTGGCTACCATAAGGGCAACCCTGCTGCATCAGACCAACAGTCCATCTAGACTAGCAATCTGCCTCCCACGGAAGCTGACCAGGGGCACAGAGTCCAAAGCCACCCTCTATTGCTGCCCTGGCATTCAGAAGCACAATGCCTATGCAAATGGAGGTTCCAGTCAGCTGTCACAGCTAACAGCCACTGACATCCCTATCTGGCATGAATTTGTCTAATCCCCTCTTAAGGCCACAGGAGCTAACAGCCTCATATTAATCTTGTATGACAGGTAAACAGTCCCTGTACTGGAGGTGCTAAACAGAAGTTACAAGAATAAGAAGAGTGCTACCTGTAAATACATCAAGGGAATGAGCACCCCTAAGCATAAGCACTGATAGGCTATGGCTGTAGAGCATGCAGAGCAGATCTGGGTCTTGTCAATGCATTGATGGCAACTTCATGGGAACTGTAACCACTTTACTTTCCATGAAGGAAGAAAGGTAAGATATGGATGCATGGATTGCGACAATGTAGTCCATGATGACACGTTTTAGGTCTACTGTCTCCCCTCCACCACCCTTTTCCTCTTTCTCCCACTCTCCCGCGATTTATCAAGTTGTAAGGTCTACTAAGAGGGAAACTGGCATGAAAACACTATAGACTTGTCTAGCCCCAAACTGTAAAGTCCTCTGCTTAGCATGTGCCCAAATCTGTCCCACTTATTAGACAGCAGGGGATGGTGGTGTCGGTATAGTATCTGGGAAATGGGTTTAAATCAGTGCCTGAAGTTGTATTTAATGGGTGGTCTTAGGCCAGCCCCCCTCTTTCTGCCTAACCTACATCACAGTGTTCAGGCAGGAATAAAATGGAGATGAAGAGAGCCACGAATGGCAGCCTTAAACTCCCTGGATGATGGGTGGGAATAAAATACACTAAAAAAAAAAAAAGCAAAAAAGCGTGCCATTGACTAGTTTACGGTTGCCAACTCTGGGTTCAGAAGTGCCTGGAGACTTGAGGGCGGAGCCTGGGGTTGAGGGTAGGGATAGTCCTTGGAAGCAGGGGTGGGTTAAGGCTCACTGGTGCCCTAAGCACTGACCAATCTTGGTGCCCCCCCTCCTTTCCACACCGACCCAGTCCATTTTAGTTGTTGACCTGTCTGACCAGATATACAATGCAGGTTGCAGCAATACAAAAACGTACTCATATGATAACACAATATACTGTACAAACTAAGGTTTTCACCCTTTCCCGAACTTTGTGGTGCCCCCTTTGGCCCTGGTGCCCTAAACACCTGCTTAGTCTGCTTCATGGTTAATCTGCCCCTGCTTGGAAGGGTATGCAGCCCACCTCCCACGTTCTCCAGGAGAAGCGGAAGAAATGCTTTAAACGATCAATCAATCGGCGATCCGCGTAGCCTGGAGACGGGCCGTGCTTGCTGGAGGCTGGCAACAGTCCCGGCTGCCTGCTCGGCCTAACAGGCCTCCTCATTCATTCATTCATTCATTCAGCTTCCCCCCCCCAAAAAAAAATATTGCGGGCCACCCCCAGTGTTCCCTCGAAGCTGAGTTAGTGTGAGTGAGCTCGCAGTTTTTTAGCCTCCAGCTTTTGTCTTCGCTCAGGAAGGAGGGGCTCCAGACTTTTGCCAGGAGCTCACAAAGCAGAATTTTTGCTCACAGGATTCCACAGCTGAGAGGGAGCACTGCGCGCCCCCCCCCCCCGGAGTCC